CCCCCCCGAACTACATTTGCGGTCTCTCCTCATTGTAAAACACTTCTTACATGTACGATCGTAAAAATGAAAATGCATAAAATTTAAAACTAAGCTACTAAGTTGACCCGCCTTTACGTGATGAATTAATGATCAGATTCCATGCAAAAGACAAGAGTTAAAATAATTCAACAGGGGAGAGGGGTCTGGGTGTTCTAAATTCAGTGGTTGATATATATAATAGACTATTAAATAAAAAAGAGGAACCCATATCAGGATTACATTTACTTATGGATTGTTAACGACTCCAGACTAAATACTATGAAAGATCATGCTTCACCTTTCCTCCCAAGTTTCAAATTTGATCGCAATTACTTTTATTTTCGCCTTCCCCTTTATTGTTGCTTTATCTAGTTGTGTTTTATTTGAAGACAGAAGAGTACAAAAACGGGTTGAAAACTTTACTATGTATACTATATATATATAGAATATATATATCGTGTGGGACAAAAACAAACACCAAGATCTAATCTAGATCTAGACTCTAACTCTAGATCTAGATCTAGAATCTAGATCTAGAATCTAGAGATCTACATTGACGGAAGAGCCACAGGGGTATGAAATGAAACGGTGAAAAGGACTATCTGTGGAACAATAATATTATTAAGGGATTATGAATTGCAATTACGAGACACGTCCAAAATCAATTCAAGCACATAGATCTACTTACCACTGACTTTTATTCCAGGTTTCCAACTGCCTCCGTAAGTTACTGTGGAAAATCTAGAATCTAGATCTAGATCTAGATCTAGATTCTACCGTAGAAGATTCTGAGCAGTGAGTGAAAGAAAACTCAGTTGATCTGGTCTCTCTCTAGTCTCTTGTCTCTTGAGATCAAGCGCGCGCGCGCACACACACACACACACACAGCACAGCCCACTCAACTCGCAAAGCACACCCAGGCCTATTTTTACAACCCTTTAGCCTACCACTTTGCTTTGATGCCGTCAGCCAACACAGCACAAAGAGAATTGTCTAAGCGATACTCACATGAGCAAAGATCGTGAGGAATTCTTTGTTGAGTATCGAAATTTCTAAAAGCGATATTTTAAACTTAAGCAGATCAGGGCCCAGCCTATGATAGGCCCTATTATGTATAGACGCTCATGGAAGTATAAGAGTGACATAAGAACGTATAGGCCCTAGGCCTATCACATTATGTAATATTATTATTATCTTGATGGTAGACTACATTGTGTTTTGTACAGTTATGTACATCTTATTATACATCAATATGACTCTCGGAATTTTTAAAACAAAATAATGCTGAGGATAGTGTTGATTCCAATTTATAAAAATAAGCTCTATCCTGAAAATTGGAGCAATTCAATGACAAATAAACGAGGTTGTGTTGAAAGAAAATGATGTGAAACGGCCACAAATATTAGGAATCTAGATAAGTGCCGTTCTTACAACTCTAGAATCGTTATATAAGATAATAAATACTGTAAAGCTCTCACTGGAAAAATAGAGAGCAAAAAAAAAAGACTGTAGATATGTCAAGAACACAGAATTCTACTCTTAGTGTAGAATTCTGTGGTCAAGAATAACTTATTCATAGAACTTGAACATGTTTATTATGCATGATAGCAACGATCGGGATAACTATTTTATGTTTATCGAGAGCATTCAAGCTGAGAAACGAATGGAAGGCCTAAACCATGACCCTCATTAATGTCTATGCTTCATTAATGCATAATTAGGCTAATATACCTGGCTCTTGAACTGAAGAAAAAGACGCAAACATGAATATTGGGGGCTGCGATATCAACTAGAATCGAGTCCTTCTATAGAAATTCGATCTGGGGCCTCGATCCAGAAAAACGCCACGCCCACTTTTCCGCCAAGTGCTCAACCAAACCGCAATATATTGCGCTTGGCCTTGCCAAAGGGGGTAATACTATTACTACTTCTACTACTGGTAACTGTACTACCACTGTTCTGTGTACTCCCGAGTCCGAGGTGATAAACCGTGTACCCTTGGCCCAAGTGGACAAGTCCAGTTCTATCGCTGCAACATGTTACGTAAATCAAGGGGTCACTGACCATGAATTGATTCGGGGTTATGTTTGTCCGGAGCAGCCAGCTGAGTATAATAGGGTCAACACAAGGAATTATAGTAGGCCTACATGTTGTAGGTCCTTGGGTCAACGGCTTCCCGGATATAAGCCGCAAAATACATGCACATATATTTATACATTATAGGCCTATATATATGTTATAATGTTTACAGCCTCCCTGAGTAGCCTACCTCACAGACACTATACGCACCTTTCCCCAAGATAAGGGGCGGGGTGGTAGGGTTGGGGTGGGGGTGGGGGGGCTTTGTTTTGGAATGGTAGGTCAGGTAGGTGATAGTATAAGATAAGGACGCACCATTTATTATTTCCCCTAAAGCCTCCACAGCCTCCTACGAGGAATAATATTGTGTAAGTTAGCCTCTCTGGGCTCAGCACCGGCATGACTGATTCAGTAATAATAATAATATGATCGCCTGTAAAGCGCTGCGATCATTGACAGCCTCTCTCTCTCTCTCTCTCTCTCTCTCTCTCTCTCTCC